ACAGCTCCAGCTAACAGATGGTACCATTTATCACTTCAGTACAATGAATAGCCAGGATGTGAATGCATGGTTTCATGCCCTGCGTCAGGTTGTATCAAAATTGGTAAGCATTTTTGAAGTAAATGCTATTGTAAATTATTTATAAGGGTATCGACAGGTATTATTGATTTTCAAGCACAGTGGTATCGAAGAGGTCACAGCTCTAGACAGTAGCCTCGGACGGAGGAGTTTTGTTTGCGCTGTGTATTTGAAGCAGTTTAAAGCAGTTTTTTAGATCTTCCTGAAGATATATCATATTTAGAAATAGAAGAATAGAAGGATTTCACTTGAATGTCATGTGTTTGAAGACATTTTATGACTTAGAAACTTTATGCCTATTTGGTTTGGTTCTACTTGGTTCGAGTTTTTTCTGACCCAATGAAATGATGGCTGAAATAAAAATATTCATGATTAGTAATAGTATTAAAGGTTAAAGTGAAAATAATAATGAAGTAGAAAAAAAGATGATGAAGGGAAGAAAATGAAGAAAAAGCGAAGTAAGGAGGGGAAAGGGGGCATGGCAGGAACGAGATACTTTTCTGGACAGTCGAATACCTATTCGTTGTTTATGAGTACCAGTTTGGGAAAAGCTATTGAAGCGCAACACATACAGGGGCATTCTGAAATGGTTGAAGCCTTGCCAAGTACTTTTTTTTCAGGAGAATCATTAGTAATCATTTCAGGAACGTCAGGATCACTAGCAGGCTGACCACCAAGCAATGTAGTACTAATTTAAGCAACTGGAAAAATTAAACAACTGTAAATCTACATTCCCAATAAGTGTGTAGAGAATTTCGTTGATTTTAGCCAACTGCATGCCTTAGGTGCCAAACTATGAATTACAGCTGATCTAAGCAGTATGGCATAATAGCCAGCAAAAAATTTTTGAATTATGCGAATACACATAAATCTACATTTCTAATAAGTGTATAAAAAATTTCGTTGATTTTAGCAATCTATTTTCCAAAATTTCAGATTTTTGCTTGATTTTTGTACGTTTTTTTTAGTAAAAAATTGTGAATTTAAACATATTTTGAACACTGAATTTTGCTTCCGTTACAGCCTCGTCCTGATACATGCCCAACGCCGGTGCTTGAAAGAGGCGGAACTACTGGTGGCTTGATGCGAAATTCTAGTAGTTTATCACATTCCTCCGTGGCATTTGGCGCACCGCAAGATCGTCGCTCAGTCAAGAAATCTAAAACACTGGGAAAAGGTTAAGATTTTTGAATGTTGAAGGCCGTTTTTTTGAATTTTTAACATTTTTTGCGCAGTGAGATAGCTTAAAATCAACTTTTGGATCGCTGCACATCTTATCCTCTAATTCACACGTGGACAACCGGCGATCCGTGGGTCGGATTCGGTCCACCACCGATTTTAATTCGCGAAAGGAATCTGAATTTGATGCCTAACTAGAAGGACTCGGGGAGAGGGGGGAGGGTCAGATTCCGCCACGCCTATGTACACTCTTAAAAACGATACAAAAATACGCACGAGGCTAACAGATGACAATCCGGAAAATATTTTAAGACTGTGTCAGTGACGTAAATCCAGATTTCATTTTTTTTTAAAGTAAATAAGTAAATTAGGTCCGCTTGTCATCAAAAGTTGCCTCTATCTACTCTGAAGTCTGTGCTTTTTGTCCTAAAGCATTGAGGAAAGACATTTTTCTTCTTCAGATTCAGCTACAACGGAGGATGAGAAAAAACGTTTAGGAATCGAAGAGGCAAGGCCTACGCGGGAATCAATCATCGAGAAGCTGAAACGGTTTTTTCGTTCAAGGCCAACCATAGAAAGTTTGAAAGAGAAGGGCATATACAAGAGTTGGTTTTATTTCTCGATCTTTTGCAGTGTTTTCTAGTGGATTTTTTGTTAATTTATTATCGTATCTTAGGCGAATTCTTAAATTTGATGAAATATATTACCTTGGATAGAAAAATTTAAAATACAAATTTGTACTGTGCATCGGCAAAGTCACAAAAAGTCAGAACTTTCCTCGTATTTTACTCTTTATAACAAGCGGAGACACTCAGAAAGTAGCCCAGTTGCGAAAGGGATGTTGACGATTTGTAACCCTATAATTACACCATTTCTCTCCTCCCACTAATTACTAATACTTCGACCTACTTCCTCCGTCTTACTAACTTCTAACAATTCCACCAAATTCTAAACTACCTTCCTACTCATTAACTTGCCCTCCTTTTCCCTCCATTAATCTTCCCTATATAAACCCCCTCCTAAATCCAAACCCTCAGTCAGTTAGTTAGTTTGTGGGAATCGACAGCCGACGGCGCCATTCGATCGTCCAACGCTGCAAGCGTCTCGCCCCTCCGTCTGTCGTTGTTATTCTGTTGCACAGCTTGTGCGGTGCCCCGGCTCATCGCCTACGCGTCATCTTCGGCGTTTTCTCTGGAGTGAAGCGCTTATTAGAAGAATAAATTGCTGGTTTTTCTCCCCTGTCTATCGCTACTGCAGTCAAGGACCACGTAACGGGCCCAACAGGTCTCCTCTTTTGAGGGTTGCTTACAAGCAGACTAATGGTGAATTCGACTCCTTGGCATATGCCCAAATACCTTTTTACCGTCGA